ACTCCTTGAAAAAGAACTAAATCCAGATGTGGGGCCTAGGGAAGGAGTGTGCTTAGGGCAGCAGTGGTAGAGGTGTCGTGGAGGACAGGCTGGGTGTCACACATGATGCTTATCCTCCGTTAACCCCAACAAACTTGAGGTTCTTCTTGGTCCCATTATCTACTGCATGGAAGCCAGAGTCTGTTTTTGTCACTATTGACTTAAGACTGGTTGGTGGGGAGACCTCTAAATAAACACAATATCACAGGTTGGAAATATCTGGGAGATACCCCAGAATGCAGGGAAAACAAGTCTCTTACTTGGGTTGGAGGTACAGGTTGAAGGTGTGGGAAAATGTAGGAAGGGACAGGGAATGAGGTGATGTCAGCCAAATATTTTGCTAGGCCATAGTGGGGTGGCTCTGTAGAAGAGATGAGACCTAACATAGCTCTCAACAGACTATGGAGAACTCATGGGACTGGATGACGTTAAGGACCACGCTGAGCACTAGTTTCAGGACCACGGACAGCAACACATAGCTGGACAGAGTTGGAGTGTTACTCTCTTCTGGTACAGACACCTCTGGAAGCCCCCCACACCCCTTGCTCGAATGGCAGCTCATGAGTGGAGAACAGGGAAGAGAAGGGCTTCATCTTTTTGTTTTTTAAGGTTTATTTTCATTTTTATTTTATGGGTAAAAGAACTGAGGCGTAGGCCAGAGGGGCAGTGTGTGTGTGTGTGTGTGTGTGTGAGTGAAAGAGATGATTCACCAGAGGCAGAAACACACTGAAACACACTGCTGAGGGGACCCAAGGGGAGACAGGAGAGGTCTGCTGCATCTTGGGTGAGCTCCCAGACGTGATGCAGGGATCTCACTGAGGCTCTAGTGATAGTGTTGAGACTTAACCCCTGGGCAGCCAGGGAGGCCCTATGTACTATTTTCTATCAGCTTAGTTTTTTCCCAGTTAGAGCACTGCCCAAAGAAATGTGAGCCACACATGCAAGTTAAACTTTCCTAGTGACATTTCTTTAAAAAGTCAAAAAAAGTGAAATTTTAATAATATATTTTATTTAGCCCACAGCATATAAAATGTTACTTCAAAATAAAACCATATAAAACTAGAGGGATAATTAATATGTATTACTTACTAAATCTTCAAAATCAGGTATATGTTTTATGCAGGTGCTGACAGCAAGCACGTCACAATTCGGGCGCTAGGTTTTCATCAGCGTTGCTGGCTCTGTGCTCGGTCTAACTTCCTAACATTGATAGTTGAAATATTTACCGTTGAAAGGCGGGTTCACCCCCTCACATGTTCCTGCCCCCTGGTGACAGTGGTGCTGGGGGCCCTGGCGAGTTCCTCCAGACACCTGGCGTGAACTGCTATTGCTCGAACAAACAGTGAATGCCCAAGCTAAGCACCAGGGGGTACTTGCTGCATAAATAAACCCTCACAGAGAGTAACAACATTCAGAACGCCCCTTGTCCTGGGTGAGACCATCACTGCTCCCCAAAGAATGGAGCTGGCAGGCCGGCTCCCCTCCGCTCAGGTTGAGGCAAAGGAGTCATCGCTGGTCCCACCAACCCTCTGCACTGGTCAGCTGGAAACAGCCTCACTGGCCAGACTCATGCCTGTGCTCAGGCCTCATTGCCCATTGCTCACTGCTTTGAAATGAGGTCAAGGCTACAGCTCAGTTCCCGGGTCACGCCTTATCACAGTCGGCCTGAGTTACTTCTGATCTGAGCGGGACTTTCCCAGCACCATAAAAGACTCACCAGGATCATAAAAGAATGGCGCTGGGGCCTGCTCAGGAATGGAACAGGCAGTTCCATTTGCACGAAGCCTTCCCCCAGCAGCCCCAGCTGCGCTCGGACAGTCTGGCCACTTTGTCCACCCCAACCTCGGCCGTTCCACAGCTCCAGAAGCTACAGGCATTTATCTGCAAGGCCCAGGGGATTCCTGCGCCTTCACCAAGCACCCCCAGTCTGGTCTCTATGCCTCTCAGCTCCCCCATGCCCTTTGCACCCTGGACTCTTAAGCTTAGCCACCCATTTCCAAGCAGCGGCAAGAGGCAGGCAAATCAGAGGCCGCATGATTCCTACCCAGTGCTGGCCAGAATGCTGGCCAGGGCTCACCCAAAGTGTCCACTTCTCAAGGCAATATTCTCATGATAGGTGGGAAAAAAGGGGTAACAAAGCCAATTCTCTAGGGGAGTGTTCCCAGGGACAGGCCACCTCTAAGCACACCTCTGGGCACACCCAGAAGGTGAAACTCTGGGCCATGGCCCCTTCCACACTGTCTGCAGGTGTCGGGCAGCTGGTGCCCTTGCCAGAGTGTCCTGAGTACTTACTAGGTCCTCTACTAGGGAGCTGATACAGAGCTGTAAGTCCTCATGGATCTTCCTACTACTGGTAAGAGGAAAACACATTTACTGTAGGGCACATTTAATAAAATGGACAAGAAATATGATGCTCTCCTTTACTCCCCCATCCAGTAGTCAAAGCAAGTGTGTAACTGATACAGGGCCAGTGCTGGGCCCAGCCTGCACACCTGGACGCCACAGGCCTCAGCTGGGAGGAGGCTTTAAAGCCATGTGTCTGCATTCGAACCCTCCTGTCCCACTGTTGGGATTCTTTGTGGCCTGGTGCTCCCATGTTCGTCCGGCACGCCAGGACAGTGGGCCC